ATGCTCCATTAATAAATGGGTAAACCTACAAGCAGCTAGAAACATGCCGAAAAAAATTCACCAAAAGCACTGTAAACTGAAATGATAGAAACCTGAGTGTAAGGTGTAAAGTAGACAATAAATTGGATCAGTGTTAAATTTGATTCAGGAAAGGATTTTCTTCACGCGAAAACTTTGTGAATTCAAAATCACCCCTACAGCATAATGGTATGATCCAAATATGGTGGCTGTTTCCGAGCAGAATGGTAAAAGGGATTGTTGTCAATAAAATGTATGATTTCCACACGTTAAACCTCCCGTGTTCAAGACATAGTTTCTTCTTTGCTTATAATTGTTACTAGTGAATCAACTAAGAATGGAGTTTTTAGACTTTCGTCAACGTGTAAACTGACGTTAAAGTGCAGTCATTAAGCATGATCACGAGGGCATGTGCATTATCATATAGGCCTACTCATTTCAGTTTCACAGACATGAGTCAACTGCACTCCTGGATGAAGTTTTTCCATGAACCCACAATGCTACATTGTCGAGAAAGCACATTACTCCAAGGTAAATTCACCGATTACTCCTAACCCTTGAAAACTGCTGAATGAGAACCTGTCATGCCTGTTTCCCACCCTGACCCCGGGGATGTTGTTCGCTTACTACAAACACCCTGTAATCCATAGATTTACACAACACAAATTACAAGTTCTTTGATTTAAATGTTGAAAATGCTGAACTATTTTTTTTCGATTCTTTACAAAGCAGTTGACTCAAACATGAAAGAAGTCAGTGGAATGTAAGTTGTAGTGAATATTATACACTTTAATCAGCCAATCTCGTGAAATTATGACCAAAAAAAAATTGTGCTCACTACCTTTAACTGATACCATATCAGTACTTTTTGATTCATGATCAATGATGTGGTGCTGTAAACAACTTCCTATTTGACCACATACATGTACACGTATCGGTACATACCAGTATGTGCTATTGTTCATTCCACCATTTTCCTGTTTCCATTTCATAGTGGTCCTTATTTTGACCACATAACAAATGCACCAGCTGACCAATTAATCCATGCGGAAGGGTTAATCCATCCGGATGTGTGGCAGTACCATCTGGGTACCCGCACGTGTCCCAATGACCCTCCTTACGCATTCACATCACATTCTGTTGCAACCGTCTCAACACCTGCCACCTACGTGTACACCACTCCCATAATCCTTGGTGCATCCATGCGGGGACAGATCAATCAAACCATAATTGGCAAGCGCGTCCAAAAGCACGATCCCCACAGCCAACCCTATCCTGAGAGAAAAACTAAACTCGGAGAAAGAACAGGAGGGTGGGCTGTCATCTCTATTCCTTTATTATCAAGATATCTATTTAATTGCGAACTCAGTTTCTAATTACTTGGGCGTGATGTGGGTCCTCTTTTACTTAATTACAGACTGTGGTTAGGTTTCATTTGTGTACTAATCAGTACATTATTAATTGGATAAATGGCCAATGTTTGCACACACAAATGGAGTGTAAGTGTGCATAATTATGTGTCAACACCGTTAAGCACATAATAGAAAGATTAAATTTGTGGCTAAACCTCCAGTGCATGCTGTGGAGTCAGAAAATTGAAGTAATTTAATACAAGCTAGTACATGTACAGTACATGTACATGTACATATGCCAGTAACAACCTATAGTTGGCATTATTCGCTCACACATGTGCAAATGTACAACTGAATTCTCTATATAAAACTTGCTTCACAGGTACTATTTGAGTGTTTGCTGCAGAGGTTGAGTGAAGTTACACTTCATCATATTCACAATGAGTTGATGGTGACTGTCCACCAGACTGATGAACATTTGTAATGCAATCACACTCACATCAGTGATTATGGGGTGTGATATAGAACATAGAGTGCAAAATGGTTGCAATGGTTACTGTCCTCTGTTACAATGATCCAACTTTTTTACAGAAACCACCTTGCTTCTACTCAAAAAGGAGTCTTTTTGAGGGAAGGACTGGATGTCTATGGGCCTACAGCCTACTGTCCAAGTACTTAGTGTATTTAAACATGTAAATGTACGGAAAAATTCCTCAGAAATTTGATACACCGTCTTCAAGTTCTGATATCTCTCTTCAGTTCTAATATGCATGATGGTATAGTCGCCAGCTGGTCTCTTATCTTGCCACTTACTGTGAAAACCAATGAGACTTACAATAGGTGGCAAAATTACGGACCTGGCACACACGTAACATGTACATTTTAATTCACATCCTTTTTCAGTATCTCAGCGATGCCTCATCATTTCTCATTACTCACGTTTTTTCAAATCAAGGAAAGTCCTTGGATAAGTGCCACTTCTCATCCCTGTCATTCACTCAGTCTTTTTATAAGCAAACATTTGATCCACAAATGTTTGTATTAAAATCAACACCTCCGAAGGTTGACCCTCATTCTAATAGTGAAGGCTCCTCCTTGATAAAAAAAACACAACAAAGCCAGGTATGCTTCCTTCCCTAAGTCAGATTAAGATGCCCTGTTGATGTTGGGATAGGACATGTAAGCATGGTCTAGCCTGTGTGGTTTGAGGAGTTTAGGCAGGTAGCAAGGTCTCCGGTGGGTCTCTACAATGAAGCTGGGCAGGTCAGAAGTCCATGAAGCTTTGCTTTCTTGCACAGGCCCGCATATCAATCAAGGTTAAGCAAATTGTAGGAACATTCACAGCGAGGGTTATGACAACAACAGGGATGAAATCCAACCGGGAAATGAACAAAACTAAAACAGGATTAAAAGGCATTTCAACTCACATAAGGTTACTGTGGTAAGCGTCTTTCTTACCCTGTTACTCACTACACAATGTATATGAACATGGGTTACTTATGGGCTTTACTTTTGTTGTAGTGGGGAAGCAGAAGAACAAACATCAATGCAGAAGTACAACTTGGTAAAAAAAAATGGGCCAATTGATGTACTATTTCAAGAGAAACAAGAACAAACAGATTGACTTGGGACTTTGGTTGGTATCACACAGCCCTTTCAATCCTTTGGGGAAAGTCCTTACACCTTTTAAACTCTGTAAAAACAGATTTATTCTACAAGGATGAAGTGAGGCTATTTTGACAGGGAATTTGGAAGTTGGCATTAAAATGTCAAACAAAAAGTTATGAATATTTCCTTCGTCCAGGACAGAAAAACTGGGCATCAAAGGCAGATATAAAATTGAAATGTTAATTTAGTTTTAACGAAGCTGCCTGTTTCAATCATTCATGCTCTAAGTAACACTAAAAAAATAAGCACTTTAAAAATCTGGCCTAAGGGAAAAGTAAATACCACAAACCTTGCACAAACCAACAAAAAAGACAAACAAACTCCAAAGTTCCACATTTGGGTAATTCAAACCCTTAACATAAAGTGTCAATTATTACTGAAGTGTGAAACAGGCCCTCCCTAGCTCTAGAAAAAAAGGGTTTGATCCAGGAATTCTCACTTTCCAAGGTTCCTCAGCTGGAACAATACCCCCCTGATAGGCAGGCAATAATTAATCCTTGTCAACACCTGTTGAGTTAAGGGGTCTTGTCTTGGTTCCTAATTATGGCAGGAAATGAGCAGGCTGGACCTCTCTCTGTTTGGAGTATGGCCCAGTTCTGGTAACAAGATGAGGTATGGCCAGAATGCCCCAAAAGGTAATCAATCAGGATTTTCTTGCACGCCATAAATCGAGCGTAATAAATTATCACGTCAGCCTGGATGTGGAAAATAAGTTATTATGTGAACCATTCAGAGCGAAAAGGGATTACTGAGCATGAGGAAAAGTCTAGGGCAAAACATTGTCTGCTTTTGAACAAAAAACATGTCTGGCTCAGGAAAATGGGAAACATCAAGCTTATACCCGTATCTACCATACTTGATCAGCAGAAAGTTAAAAAACAAGAGAATAACAGAAAGGCATCAACATCTGGGGAATAACAGCAATCTTGAGATGCCACATACCAATTTGTTTCATAGTTTCTATATGTAGGCCTAGGTGACCTTTGAACTTGTGTATGTCTGTATCTATGTCTTTAAGAAGTAGACTTAAACTCTACTTTAATATTGGAAGCTTTTAACTTTCACTAACATATTTAAAAACACTTTATATTAAATGTTATCAAAACCTTTGAAAATATTTGGACGCTAACGAGGGTTGTAACTAGGACTCCAACCTGCGACCTCTTGGTTACTAGTACAGGCATCTTATTGCCATTTGACCAATGAACTGCTGCAGTCGGCTGGCAAGTTTGAATCCATGAGCAACTGGTGCTGTGCCAAACTTTCATGTATTTATAAGATGTAATTTTTTTTCCACTGCAAACATAAATCTACACGCATGTACGTAAACATCTGCAATGAAAATGCAGCCATCGCAAGGAATTACATTTCCTTCAATATCCAAAATGTTATACAGTAAATCTCGCGTAAGTCGGATCCAATAAATAGTTGAATTCATAGATACCTCGGACAGTTTTTCTATTCCTATTGGTCGAAACGCATCACGTGACCATGAATTAACATTTGATAATGCCCACTGAGAAGTGATAATGCTCACTATGAAAATCACGCACTGGCACATGGATACGAGACAGTTTAATCGGGTCTGACTGGTCAGAAGTCTGTGTGCACCCGATGCGCTCAGTTCATTGAAGGGGATTCTATTGGACAACTTTCAAAAGGAATATACCATAAAATGGACGAGGTGTTCAGACAAATGAAAGTAAAGTTTTAAAACAAAGTTGTTGGAAACGTTGACTTCTTTTGGCTCTCTGAATAAAAAGGTATTTATGAATGGGAATAAATATGTGCTTGGCCAGCCTTAAACTGACGAACGAACATTGATAATGCCCTCAACTGTGACTTGGGCATTAGTCACGTCCACTCTCCTGAACCTTGGCCGGTCTTGAATGCATGTTTAAGACCAGCCAATTACATATTTATTCCCTTATTAAGCCTAAGCATACAAAAGTTTGTATTTACCTGGACTTGGCACTGTGTCAGGACAGACCCAGACTTTTGATTTCCTCTCCATTTGGAGCCCAGACTCTCCTCTAGGTACTGTTGGGCCTGGATAGCCACCGGCACGGACGGGGGAAGACGGCTTGCAGCTGGCAACGCACTTTTGCCTTGGCGAGAGGAGCGACTGTGCCCAGATCCATTCCCGTGTGAGTGCTGGGTGTAGAGGTAACGTTGTAAAGAGGCCAGGTCGCGGGATCCCACTAGTGCTGGGAGGTTACTGAGAGAGGCAGCCTCACTCTGAGACTGAGCCTCTTCCAGAGACTGGACCATGGCTACAGCTTCTTGTTTGAGCTGCTTCAACTGAGTAGAACACACTTCACACTGGCTGCCATTCCAAGCTTCATAGAGTGACTTAGGGATTTGAAGTCTTTCATAGAGAGCAGAAGAATCCTATGTTGAAAGGAAATACAAGCAATAGAAAAAATGTAAGACCAACAAGTCAGATGTACAATGTACTTATCAATGTTGAGCAAACTTTGATTGATCTCTGTCCAAACCGCTCCGTTGTTCCTATTGCTAGTAGACGGAACCTGCTACAAACCAAGTCAGTTGTACTCCATCGCTGTTCATGTACCAGGGTCATGTTCTTTCACTGATAACTGAATATCTTTACCTGAAACATGTTTTGAAAGTGGGTGACCAGCTAGAAGGAAATCGCTGAACTGAACCTTCTGACAGCACAAATCTACCAGTTGACCTCCCAATCCTATCAACAATTACCAGGTTCTCTCATACTCCAAGCAGAGCCTTTGATTTCATTTTCAAAAGTTCGTCCACAGCAAACATTTATTTACATAGTCTTCTCATAGCCCTGTTTCAGTAATGACACAAGCATGACAACTTCCAGTTGCAGCATCACATTAAATTTCAAAGGCATATTTTTTTCAGAAAAAGCACCACCATAATTCAGTCAGGTATGGTTCCCGGTGTCTTCCTACAAAAACAACCAGGGCCTAGGGTGTTGTGGTGGCTCCAAAGATGAAATGCAAACCAGTGTACCTGCCAATGCATATATACTTGGACTTAATGATCCCACCAGCAAACATATGCATGTTTTTCAACAGTTGTTGTTGTGGTCTACTGTACCTGCTCAGGACCTGACCACTTGTCAATCAGCATCAGCTCTATGTTTATCTGATCAGCAATTATCTCAGGTTAGAGCCTGGGTATTCTCTGGGGAATTGGCTCAGGCATTCATAACTTTTACCAAACTAATCCAAGTACCATGCTAGAAAGCTACTTGTATAGAAACCACAGAACTTCATAGAAACTGGATTAAGTGACTGTTGCACTAAAGGGTGGGAAAAGGTTGGGCAACACAGTGGCAATTTTTTGTCAGAGGTTGTGAGTTGTTTCAGTTTTTTAGGATCAGGAAAGGGGAGATATTTATAACTTCAAAGTTGAGTTGACACAGTGAATCACAATTTGAACTTGACCTGAATACCAATAGAAGCAAAGAAACTCTAGCTACTCACACTTAACCCTGACTTCACTTTGCTGGTTTTGAAAGTAACATGTACATAAATTTGCTCCTAAACTGATAAAGCATAGTTTATACATGAAACTAATGAACATATCTGATGACAACTCTCACCTTTGTTCAAATTTCATTGGTGTTTTCCAAATATTAATGAGAGAGCAATATTCGGCATGGCACACAATGCTCAACCTGTGCTTCAACTATGGAAAGACTGCTGGTTTGTTCTTCTGAATCAGTTCTAAATGAGTCCAAATGCGTGACTACAAAAGAGGCCCCTGTTAATGACAGCCTTTTTGAAGGGTCTTCATGATGTACTCTGATGACATGCTTTCCATTTTCATACACATTACAATCCTCAAGATCAATGACAAACTTGAACTCAATCACAGTTGAAAAGACAGACAAAAGGTTTTCACCTACCCGAGACTTTGGAGAAGCATGGGAAGGCAAGTTACACGGACTGGTACAGTTATTATACTTAGAAGAAAACATTGTCCATAGCTCAATAACATCAGTGTTTTAAAGGAAAGAGTTGAAAGTCCACAGAACTACCCAATTCCTTCTGGTGAATCCCTACAGCACAGCATCAATTTGTACACAGTATGCTGACTTAGCTTTGGGTAACATTGAGATTTAGCATTCCTCAAAGCTCTTGTGACTGTGAGTGAGCCACAGTACCACCATGTGGGCTCTATGTGTTGGTCACCAACACCTCATGATATTGGTGAAAGCCCAGAGCCACTGTGACCAGCAAAGTAAACAAAGTATCTGGCTGAACAATTAGCCTGATTAAAGCAGCACTGACCATGGACTGACCAGTCAGTAGGGATCATGGACTGACCAGCCAATGTGCAACTGGTGATGAGGTCATGTACCAGAGGTCTAAAGGTCACCTGCTCATTTCTGAGAAAAATACGGGGAAAAGTTACTCAGACAGATGAATTCTTTGTTACTCAAGCAAAATTTTGCCAAGTCTGAAAGAATATTCATAACTTAAACTTATGTAACCTCGTAGAAAAGCAATGTTTAAAATAGAAATTAAAATTTATGAGAAGTTCCAGTTTAAACTTTAAGCATATTAAAATAAACTGACAAAAAATATGTTCATATTTTCTACCTCTAATAAAAGAAACTAGTAGGGCCTACAGTTTATAAGATCTGCACAAAGAAAACTTTGCTCTCAAATACAGTTTCTTTTCTAAGAAAAAGCCAGGCAAATGTAGGTTGAGAGTTCCATCAAGAGTCCAATTGGCCACAAAATGGCTTGCCAAATATGATTGAGGATATTACACCTGCTAAAGATTACCTTTCAAAATTGGGTCAAACTTTTGACCCTGTTGGGTATGTATGATATGTGTGTGCAGTGGGTGTTCCCCATACCAAAAATCTAGGGCAGCCATGAACATTGTGACACTGTGAATTATGTATTGTTGGAAAAACATGTGTTTTTATGCTGAACTGTGGTGGTTCATGGTGGTTTTATGACTCCATGGTTGTGACAGTCAAAGAATGTGATTGACATGTGGGCTGGATGTATGACTCCAAACAAAGCCCCTTGTTGTCTGGGGAGGGGGAAATAATCTGGGTTTTGATTGGTTGTGATGTGCCAGCACAGGTGGAATCAACCAATCAAGTATCGGTTACTGTCACTGTGCAGTCAATGCCAGAGCACCTAAAATTAATTTAAGTCCAACAAGCAATTTCAGTTCTATACCAACAATTTGGCAGATGTCAAATTTTATCTTGGCATCAAAATATTTGACCTTTATGATGCAATATTTCTTGGATTGCCACCAACAGAAAAATGTTAATGTTACTCAAATAATATTTGTGTACTTAGTATATTATTTACCATTTATTAGCAATTTCCACGGACATCCAAGTATGTAAAGCTCACGGTAAAACCAGGCTGTTTCCTAGGTTGGTAAGTAGGCATTGTAGAACTCAGGTAAAAATGTTGAAGACTGTGTTAAACTATTTGACTGATGTCAAAAGTTGCCCTTTCAGCCTTCTGTAAATGATTTCCTTAACTCCCTCAATTTCCTGTACTTTGGTCGATGAAATAAAGTCAAATAGGCAAAGTAAAAGCCTTCTTTTTTTTTAGGTCAACTTCAAAAAGAAATCAGTCTCAAAACCTCTTGAAGTTTACATCAAGTGTAACCATAGCTATTAGTCCTACTGTCTGCAAATTTTTGTTTCTTTTACTACTGGCAATTTAACAAATACATGGCAAATGGAACAGCATTTGCCTTCAAAAGGAGGAAATCATTAATAAAAACTCGAGCCTACTACATGCTATCTGGCTGCCAATAATAGACAAGATTTAAGATTCAATGCAATCAAACGTCAGCCAATACTGCAGGTGCTTTCTAAGAACTTTTGGCAATCAACAAATGCAGAAATGTGCCCGGTATATGAACTGCAATCTTACAATCTGACAACTTTCCTCTATTGAACACTGTGCTCACACCCCAATTTTTTACTGCTGAATTACATTTCTTTCCGTTGAAGCGTATTGCAAATTACTGGTACTTCTCATAACTATTTATCTAAGATTTTATTGCTTAAAAAAAACATGTTTTGAAGGAAAGCTAACAACATTCAGGTTCGGACATTATTTTCATGTAACAACAAAATCTGCAAGGCTGGGTCATACCCAAGGCAAAAAACTGATTAAAAAAACTGATAAAGACGCAACATCAGAAATTCAATGACAAGCAGTCTGAAAACAATCAGAATAAAAAAACACCAAATCATAACCTAGAATAACACAACTGATAATGATCGACCATGGATCGACCAATGTGAGCCACACACAGCGCATAGCAGGATCTGACATTGACTGCAGAGAGCTCCCAAGGGTTTCGCCATCACAACAGAATCCCTGAATCTTGGCTTTATCTGACACCTGGACTGAGTTGGCAAGTTTGGAGAATGCAGGAGACAGCATGGTTTCCCCTTATCTCTCTGTATGGGTTCACACCTTGCTCAAGTCTGATCAGGCAGGGAACCAGACTGGATTAATCAGAAGTGACAGGATTACTGAGTTGATGGAAAACTCTGACAGTTGCGTGTGACAAGCTTGTGACAGAAACAGATCTGAACCCTCAATTACGAAGGACAGGATAGGGGTCTGGCAGGGGAAAAGACAACTGAGTTACAGCATAGAGCTTTATGGTTACAGTATAGCATGGAGCCATGCTGTATAGCCAAAAGGGTATCTACAACACAGAGCTAAACCCATGAAAAAGGAAGTATAAGTAGATCTGTTCTCACTACAGCCTCTCAACTGGGGATGAACTCGTCCCTGAGCAAACCCATGACCACTCTGGGTTGATAATTTGATTTTCAACCCCATGTTCAACCCAGTGTTCTTTCACTCTTATTTCATGCAAACTGGCTTTCTGCAATCTTCCTTCCCCAACAAAAGACAAGCTGAAATGATACACATTACAGCTCTGCAACCAGCGTGTGGATGTGTGCACATCTTGCTGATGCATACATGCCGAGAGTCTGACCCAAAGAAAGTCATCGCGAGTTGAAAGCGCCCTCTCTTGACCCCAGATGGAGTCCATCAGACACACATTTCTCATACCCCTCACAGATTTCCTACAGGTATTTTACACTATGACCTTTCATGATAAAGCTTTGAGGAGATACACAAAAAGTGATACCGATTCCTTCAATCACAAGGTTTTCATTTTGGACTGAGGATGAAAATTCTGCATCTCACAGCTGTAGATGAATAATGCATAGCATTTGCCAAGGTGAGATCATTCAGGTTAAAGTGATCAGGCACATTTCTTGAACTTTCAGAACAAAAATCGGTAAAATTCATCCCCTTATGCTTTGCAAAGATATCACAGAAAGGTAGAAAATGGCCTATCATAATCTAAGCTTTCAATCTGAT